TAACCACTACGCTACTGGGCTTTATTGTCTATGCAAAGGTTTTTGACTGGGTGGACTATGAGGAGCATTGGATAACATTGTGAAGAATGGGTATTCCAGAACACTTGATTGCGCTCATGAGAAACCTGTACATAGACTATATTGGACATAGTTTATATTCAGATTTGGTGATTAACTCTCTTTTAGTTCCCTTGTTTTTATGATTTCCCAACTAAATTTCTAGTTGCTTTGCCATATCTCAACTTTGAACACTGAGACCTCAAACAAGCAAGATTTCTGCTTCTACTACTGATACTATGGATGGGTTGAAGAATGTACTCAGTCAAGAGTATAGTAAATTCACAAATCTCACCAGGTACAATAAAATCTTTAAGCAATCTAAAATGATTTTTGCATAGGATAGGACTCAATTATATATTTTTTTCATACGATAGATAATAAATTAGCCCTCTTTATCCTAGTTGATCTTCAGTGCAACCAATGTCATAAGTCAAGTATCCACATATTTGGGTCTGCTTCTTGGCTCTTCTACTTGCCAATCTGTTTATCCCTGTGTTAATATGATGTTAGTTTTATTATATACAATAAGTCTTGACATCTGGCAGGGCAAGTCCATACTTTTCCCTGTTAGGAGTATCTTTGCTACTCTTAGACTTCTACTCTTCTACATGCGTATTAGAATCAGCTTGTCATGTTCCTCAAACAAACCTGTTTGGAATTGCATTCTATATATGAGGGGGCTTCAAAAAGTTCCTAGAAAACTCCAATGAAAAGATAATGATATTTTCTGAAACTTCTGAAGCCCCATCGTACAGACCAATTTTGGGAACTCTAAAGGAGTCCAGTAATGGGCTCAGGTGTAGCAACAATTGTGAGGTGGGTGCAGGACCAGACAGAATTTCATTCTGTTGTGCACAGGGTCACTATGAGTCAGTGCCTACTTGATGGCACCTAATACGAACAGCAACAAACGAGTCCTAGTGTGGCACTGCAAGACAAGCATTAGACTACTAATCACAAAGCTGATGGTTCAAGTCAACTAGCTGCTTCTTAGAAACCCTAAACAGTGTTGCTATAAGTAGGAACCAACCCCAAAGCACTTAACAACAACTTTAGGATACTGAATTATTAACATTTAAGTCTCATCTTTCAACCGTGAAACAGCTGGTAGTTTTCAACTGCTGACCTTGCAGTTCGCAGCCCGATTCATAACCACTATGCTAAGGAGCCCTGGCAGCGTAGTGGTTACAAATTGGGCTGTGAGCTTTAAGGTCAGCAGTTCAAAACTACCAGCCACTCTGTGGGAGAAAGATGAGGCTTTCTGCTCCCATACAGATTTACAGCCTTGGAAACCCTGTGCAGGGTCGCTATGGGTTGGAACCAACTCAACGGCACTTAACAACAATAACATTTAAGTCTAGCATAGTGGGTAATGAGTTGGACTGCAAACCACAAGGTCAGCAGTTCAAATCTACCAGCCACTCTGTGGGAGATCAATGAGGCTTTCTGTGCCTGTAAAGATTTATAGCCTTGGAAACCCAATACAGGGTTGCTATGAACTAGAATTGACTCCAAGGCATATAACCACCACCACCAATTTTTCAGTAAAGTGTAAAAATGTATTCTTTAAAAGGCAAACTTGATTAAGGCCCAGAGGAAAACAATAGAAAACTACTGGAGTCTGTTTACTCAAGAAATAAGGAATACTTACCTCGGCTTTAATGTAAATGGGAACGAATATCCAACCAAGAACCATAAGGAGAAATACTGTCTGAAATCAAGAAGGATAATAATTAAATCAGTGTCCCATTTAGGGCAATGTCTTAAATGAGATGTAAAGTCAGTTACCACCAGTTTTAAGTCTAATAAATGTATCTCTATTGGGGACCTTATCAATAGAGGCCCAAGCACTTTAACAAACTTACTAATATCAGAGGTTTTCATTAGGTTCAGATGAATTGTGTCTGCTAGGGGGGGAAAAAAAAAGACCAAAACAGATGTCAGAAGAGGCTCTGAAACATGATCTCCAGATTAGGGAACCTAGAGCAATGGAAGAGATGAGGAGGTACAAGAGCTGAACAGAAAATTTCAAAGGTCAGCTTGAGAAGACAAAGTCAAATATTACAATGATATGTGCAAGGCACTGGAGTTAGAAAACCCAAAGGGAAGAACACACTCAGCATTTCTCAAGCTGAGGGAACTGATGAAAACATTCAAGCCTCAACTTGCAATACTGAAGGATGTTGTTGTTGTTGTTATGTGCCGTGGAGTCGGTTCTGACTCATAGCAACCCTGTACAGGGTTTCCGAGGCTGTCAATCTTTACACGAGCAGAAAGCCTCATCTTTCTCCCATGGAACAACTGGTAGTATCAAACTGCTGACTGTGAGATTAGCAGCCCGATTCATAATCACTATGCTACCAGAGTTCCCTTGAAGGATGTTATGGACAAAATATTGAATGATGCAGAAAGCATCAAAAGAATATGGAAGGAATATACAAAGTCGCTGTACCAATATGAAATGGTCAATGTTCAACCATTTCAAGAGGTAGCATATGTTCAAGAGCCAATGATACTGAAGGAAAAAGTCCAAGGTGCACTAAAGGCATTGGCAAAGAACAAGGCTCTGGGAATTGATGGAATACAAATTGAAATCTTTCAACAAACTGATGTGGCACTGGAGATACTCACTCATCATGCCAAGAAATCTGGAAGACAACTACCTGGCCAACTGATTGGAAGCAACCCATATTTGTGCCCATTCCAAAGAAAGACCCAACAGAGTATGGAAACTATCAGGCAATATCATTACTATCACATGCAAGTAAAATTTTTCTAAAGATAATTCAGAAACAGCTGCAACAGTACATTGACAGGGACTGCCAGAGGATCATGCAGGATTTAAATGAGGACTCGGAACGAGGGATATCATTGCTGATATCAGATGGATCTTGGCTGAACAGAGAATATCAGAAAGATGTTTACCTGTGCTTTATTGACTACACAAAGACTTTCAATTGTGTGGACTATGACAAACTGTGGACAACACTGTGGAGAATGAGTATTTTGGAACATTTAGTTGTGCTAATGAGGAACCTATACTTAGACCAAGAGGCAGGTGTTCGAACAGAAGGTGATACTGAATGGTTTAGAATCAGGAAAGGTGTGCTACAGGGCTGTATTTTTTCACCATACTTATTTAATCTGTATGCTGAGTAAATAATCCAAGAAGATGGATTATATGAAGAAAGATATTATCAGGATTGTAGGAAGACTCTACCAACCTGCAATATACAGATGATACCACCTTGCTTGCTGAAAGCGAAGAGGACTTAAAATACTTACTGATGAAGATAAAACTCCACAGCCTTCAGTATGGATTATCCCTCAATGTAAAGGAAACAAAAATCCTCACAATTGGATCAATAAATAGCATCAAGCCAAATGGAGAAAAGATTGATGTTGTCAAAGACTTCATTTTGCTCAGATCAACCATCAACAGTCATAGAAGAAGCAGTCAAGAAATCAAAGGACATATTATACTAGGCTCATGTGCTGCACAAGACTTTTTTTTAAGTGTTCAAGAGCAAAGATATTAGTTTGAGGAACCAAGCCATGGCATTTTCAATAACCTCATATGCATGTGAAAGTTGGACAATGAATAAAGAAGACCATAGAAGAATTGATGCATTTGTATTATGGTGTTGGAGGAGAATATTTAAAATACCATGGACCACCAAAAGAACATACAAATATGTGTTGGAAGAAGCACTGCCAGAATGCTCCTTAGAAGCCAGGATGGTGAGACTTCATCTCTCAGACTTTGTACATATTATCAGAAGAGACGAGTCCCTGTAGAAGGACATCATGTTTAGTAAAGTGGAGGGTCATCGAAAAAGTGGGAGACCCCAATGAGATGGGTTGGCACTGCTGCAGTAGCAATGGGCTCAAGTGTTGCAATGACTGTAAAGTTGGCACAGAACTGGACAGTGTTTCGTTTTGTTGTGCACAGGGTTGCTATAAGTTGGTACCAACTTGATAACACCTAACAATAACAAAAGTTTACTTTTAAGAGACAAGAGGAAAGATGACAATTAGTGTGGAGTTTACATTAAAAAAATATATACACATACACACATACAGAGATATATGTGTGTGTATATACACATATAAAAGCGCAAACACACACACACACACATAAAGAGTCCTGGTATGGTACTGGAGCATCAGCATTGGACTGTTAACCACAAGTTTGGTGGTTCAAACCCACCAGCCACTCCTTGAAGACCTAATACAAGGTCACTATGAGTCAGAACCGACTCCATGATACACAACCACCACTATATATATATATACATACACACACACACATATATATATATGCATACACATATCTATAAATTTTCACATCTATCTGTAATACCCAGGATAGGGCAGCATTTCGTTCTGCTCTGCATAGGGTCGCTATGGGTCGGTACCAACTCGATGGCACCTAACAACAACAACAACAACATCTGTAATATGGAGTCCTGGTGTGGTGCTGTAAGATAAGCACTGGACTGGTAACCACAAGGTTGGTGGTTCAAACCTTATACAGGGTTGCTATGAGTCAGAATGGACTTGACAAATTTAACAACAACCACATATATGATATATAATATATAGTCGTTGTTGTTAAGTTCCTTCGAATAGGCTCCAACTCATAGCGACCCTGTATAGAGTTTCCAAGAAGCAGCTG